TTTAATTATGAAAAAGAATTAAAAATTAGACGATACTTATATGTATACCTAGTAATGATTTTTATTTCATAAATAGTTATACATTAACTATAAAAAAAGTAATTTGGAAAAATATTTGTTTGTGATTTTGTATTACTTACTTTTTTGGAAAATGTATGGTAAGTCCAATTTTTGTATTAATTTAAAAAACATACTGTAAGTACATAAATATCTAATAATAAATAATGACGTTTCACGACGAATATGTAAATTTTTATCTAAATTTTTCTAGATTTTTGAAAATGTTGAAGTCAAGAGACCAAAATTAGAAAATTTGATAATATTTTTTCCATCTTTCTCACTCTACAACTCAGAAAATTATTAACGGAATGGCTTCAAACATGGCTTATTTTATTCAAAATTTAATAAGCTTTCTAACCGTTTTTGAGTTTTTTTTGTATCTCCTTTTGTTGCAGAAATATGATTGAAAAAGTGATGGCATGTTTTTTCAGAGAGTCGCGTGTAATCGCCCTGATACTTCTGGACGGTACTGTATGTAAATAATTAGATCCGTTCTCAAATATATAAGAACAGACGACTGTCATGATTAAAAAATTACAAATTTTTCGTATTTACAACGGTAAGTATAAATTCTTTTTTTCTATTCAGTTTATTCTTGTTTTCTTTAATTTAAAATTTGTAATATATTACCTCTTGTGAAGAGGACATACAAATTTCAAAAGAAAATCTTATTTTCAAAAGTATGAAAATTATACTATTTGAGAAAAAAATTGAAATTAATCATGTTTATTATTAGGTAAGGGGGTGAGAAAATGTTATGAAACTCTGAAAATTGATATATACCAGCTAATGATAAAAAGAAGATATTAAAAAGCACACCTGTGGAAATTTTTGAATTTTTTTTCTCTAAAGTGTTACAAGACTATATAATTGAAAGTACTATTGAGAGTACTATACGATGTTCATAACAATTAAGAAGATTTAGCATTCTTAAAATCCCTGAACGGGCAAAGAAAATTAAATTCAATTTGACTATTTCGTCCGCCATGTTGGATCCGCCATTTTGAATAAATAACATCATATTCGTAATCAGCGATCCCAAAAACCCCCGAGTAGGCATTTTTAAAAGGATTTAATAAAATTTAATTTTTTTGTCCGCCATCTTGGATCCGACATTTTGAATTTTGAAAAACTAACATTATATTCGCAATCAGCGACCCTGAAAACCCCCGAGGAAACAATTTGAAGCCAAATTTGTGAGAGAATTATATATCGATCGATGAATTAAAATTCTTTGAGTTTTCAGGCGCCATTTTGAAAAAAAAGTTTATATTCAAAAAGTTGCCATTGCTTTTGATAGTCTGGCAATCGAGTGCACGATTTATGGGCTTGCCTGCTGATGAAAAAAATTTTTTACTATCGAAATTTAAGGATTTTTAGTAAAAAGTTGTAAAAAAAATCGTGCAATTTTTTAATTATAAGCCAAAAAATAGGGTTAAACAATTTTTTATTAATTTTTTGACATCATATTTGCGTAGAGGACACTTTAATACATAAAGAAAGTCAATAGTTGATAAGATGAATATAAGTATCCAAACACTAGCGGTTGAATTACATAAAATAAACCATAAATAATGGAACGATACAGCCAGTCAAGGTATTAAAATAAAAACTTTTTTACTTTTTTTTATTATTTTTTTGGTATTTTATTAATTTTTTTATTTATTTTATTTTTTTGTATTTTGTATTCTATGTATTTTATATTTTTTACTTTTACATTGTATTATTTTTAGTTTTGTTGACATCTTATTAAATTCTGATGATGATGACACACATGGTCATCGAAACGTTAAAAACTTTCTGAAGTTTTTATTTTAATACCTTGACTGGCTGTATCGTTCCATTATTTATGGTTTATTTTATATAAAGAAAGTCGTTTCCGAAGAAATCTAGTCCAGTTTTTAAAGAAATATCATAGTTTGAAGTCAGACAAAAAATTCAGTTCATTCAGGCGTTAATGGGTTAATGAAATAGAAGCTTTTAATCCGTTTACAAGAAAACGAGATACTCCACGTTCTCCGCCTAAAGATATAAGCTTGAAATAAAACACAATCACTACCAAATATTAATAGATTATTTCAAAATAATCGATTTATTAAAAACAGTAAAAAATACTTTAGATTATTTAGACATTTCTAATTCTAATCATAATATTACATCTCTACCATTATTACAAGTTGTTACAAATTCATTAGGACAAGATACAATCATTATGGCTGTTCCGACAAATCAAACCGTAACTTCAGCTGATGCTCTTAAAGCAATTCCTGATTTTAATGGGTCTAATATCCCCGTTTCACTTTTCTTAAGAGGTTGTAACGAAGCCAAGGTCATGGTAGGAGATGCTGCTGAGGGTAATTTGGTTAGATTGATCAGAACTAAAATATTTGGGGAAGCTCAGGAAACAATTGTAGGACAGGAGTTTAATTCAATTGAACAATTATCGAATTTTTAAAAGATCTTTATGTCATTTCAAGATCGGTTAAACAGTTATTAGTTGACTTAGGTAACGAATATCAAAGAGATAATGAAAATGTCAATACTTTTGCAAATAAAATCAAAGATATAGGAGTTAGGATTTTGGAAGCGCAACGTGCTGCTACCGGTGCAGTTACAGCTGATTTTAAAAGAGAAACACAAAATGATGTTATTGAATGTTTTAAAGATGGTTTACTTCCCGAAATTGAATGCAAATTAGGAGAAAATGAAGATATAACAACGTGAATTAAAGATGCTATAAAAATAGAAAAAAAACTATTAACTCAAAAAACTTAAATGTCAAATATAATATCAGAAACAAAAACCACATGACGACGCGAAATTTATACATGTCAACTCTGTCAAGAAGAGGGACATGAAGCCAACAAATGAGATAAATCTAAAATTTGTAATAATTGTAATATAATAGGTCACAGAAGCGAAGATTGCCATAATAAAAAAGAAACTAATGCTATAACGTGTCAAATTTGCCAACGTAAAGGTCATTCTGCATCCAATTGTATTAAAATCAAACCTTGCAGTGTTTGTAATAAAATAGGACATAACCCTAAATTTTGTAGATCAAATTCATTAAATTGTCAATTATGTAATAAAAGTGGACATGATGCAAAATCTTGTACTTCTCAACCTCAGATTTTCTCATGTCAGTCTTCAGATAGTGTTTCTTTACTATTAGATACAGCAGCAGAAGGTAACCTTTTAAAACAAAAATGTATCCCTAAAGATTTCGAAATATACAGAACAAATATTTATAAAATATTTGGAATTGGAGGGAGTGTCTCTGAAACCTTAGGTACTGTTAACAGGCGATTCAAGATTCGCCGCCAACTCATCCCCGTGTGCCTGCTCAGCGGCAAATTTTCGTCCCCGTGTGTTCTCCCACTGACGGCCGTACAGCCCTATTGAAAATCCCCACATGGGATCCTATATATGATTCCATATAGGTTCCTTTATAAAAACCGTTATGAAATCTTAGGTCGACATAGGAATCCACATAGAATTCCATGTAAAATCATATATGAAATTCGGACATGATTTAGTGTATGATTTCATGTAGGAATTTATGATGTTGTTTTTACATTGAAATCTATGTGAATTCCTACATTATTTCCTATAATTTTTCTGTCATATTATTTTTGTCAATATCCTTCATAATCAACTCATATCAAATCTTATGTAAGATACTATATATACGATTTTACATACATTCCTACATACATGATGGAATCCTGCATATGTTCTCACATGGATTCCTACATAGGAAATATAAATGTAAATCATAATTCCACTCTTACGCCGCCAGATGGTGAACATTTTTTTCTTACATTTGAGATCATTATTGAATACTATATAAGCTGAGACTTTAACTCAAAAGGTGTATTGCAAAGCTCAATTTTTTTTCTTTTTAGATGAATTGCAGTAATATTATTTAATTTTTAATTAAATAATTTTTAATTTTTGTTAACTGCCTTCTGTATAAAACAGTCAACTGAAATTTAGCACATGAAATCCTATATTGTTTCCTATATATAAATTCATGTGATTTCCTATGTTCAAATCCATGTGAAATGATATGTAAGAATGCACATGAAATCCCATATGGTGTCCTATATTAAAACTTGCATGTAAGATTTCATATGAGGAAATCTTTAGAATTTTATATGATATCCTACATGAAAGCATACACCAAATCGTGTCCGAATTTCATATATGATTTTACATGGAATTCTATGTGGATTCCTATGTCAACCTACGATTTCTTAACGGTTTTTATAAAGGAACCTATAGGGAATCATATATAGGATCCCATGTGGGGATTTTCAATAGGGTGTACCCCTCCGTTCAGTCTGACGGCATGTGTTTTCCACTTCCCCCTTCTCCTGCACAACCTGTCAAATTTTCACTTTCTTCCCAGATTTCTTAGGAGCAGGACGTTTATTTTGGAGCGACTCCACTCACCTGTCACCTTCATTTCGGATCACTTGGAAATCTTTCGACGGGAATTTCGCGAATTTTGGGCCTCTTTTGACGGGACTCTTGGGTTTTTTGGAGAAATATTTTAATCCTAATTTTTTCGTAGTAAGTTTTTTTTGAAATAGACTTTTTGGGTGTTTGTGGGTAAATCTTTTTTATGAGAATATAATTTTTAAATTATTTTATATTTATAATATAATATATTTTATAATTATTTAAAATTTTAATAATTATAAATAATAATAATTTTTTGGGGGGTTTTTGGGTAAATCTTTTTTATGGGAATATCATTTTTAAATTATTTTATATTTATAATATAATATATTTTATAATTATTTCAAATTATTTAAAATTTTAATAATTATAAACTTAAGTATTATTTTTATTATATAATAAAATTTCTTGTGGGAAACATTTTTTATCGGATTTTTTTTCTATTTTATAATTTTTTTTTAAATATGGCGAATTTAAATATTACCAGCTGTTACGAACCAAAGAAATTATTAGTTTATAGAAATCAATTACTTAAAAAATAATAATAAACGGCAAGAGATAGAAGAGGCTCAAAGGGGTTCTTTCGGAAGTGGTCAACGGGGGTAAGCATAACTTTACATTGCGTAAGAGAATTACTCAGATAGGTTATTAATTCCCCCCCCCTTTCTCTTTAGTGTTCAAATCATTATGTCTGAGTGGGCGGGCGCTGCAATAAGGGGCGATGCTGGAATGTGGCCCTTGGACACAGCGTCTTTTTACGTTAAGGATGCGCCATACGATAATGCAGTTTGGCACCAAGAGTACAGATGGGATTGGGAGATGGAAAAATACGAAATGCGAAAGTATTGGGCCCCAGAAAGCTTCAAATTTCCTGCGAATACCGAAGTTCCATTTGATGAACCAATGGAGGAGATAGTTGGTGTGCTCGGGGTGAACACAGGCTACCTGTAAGTATTATTTATATATATATATATATATTAAAAAAAAATTATACTTTTGTCTGTCTGCACAATATTTTGTTCACCAATCACGCATAAACGGCTTAACCGATGTAAGTGAAACTTGGCAGTCTTTTAGGTATTAGACTAACTTAAAATCTTAGCCATACCCCATTAAAAATATTAACTTGAACGGAAGTTATGGCACTTTTTGTAAAAATCGAATTAAAATTTTTTTTTTTTAAGAATTATTATATACAGACAACTATAGTATTATAATTTGTTCCAGCCCGCTGTCACGTCTTCCCAGCATTCCCCCAATGAAGGGGTATCGTCCGAGAAGTCCAGCCCTTGCCTTGGTATAATTACAAAAATATAAACTGGAGTGGGAAAAACCAGTATCAATCTATCAAGGGTGGAACATTGTGAGTATTACGATCATGAGTGATTATAATTTGTTATAACTAATGCAGGGAACGTTCGATTCTTTATTTCGGATAATTTACTTTATTCAGAATATATAAGAATTTTCTTTCTTCCCTCGCCCCTTTTTTTTTTTGACACGTACTTTAATCTTGTTTATACGATTATGTTTCAGCGTTGGAATCTAGAGTTTGAAACTGTTTGGTTTCCTTGTTAAGAAGTTTAAGAGGAGGATTTCTAGAAGGCACTGTCGGTTCATTTTGTTGAGAATTTTCCTATTAAGTTGTATGTAATTTACTTTTGGGCGTTCATCAATTTTTTTTTTAACAGTTAAAAAGAAAATTCAAAAATATAGTTATGTTTTGATTGAAAAAAAAATTATTTATTTTCCTATCCCTCTTCTTTTTTTTTTTTTTTTTTTAATTTAAGCTTGTAATTTTTTTTTATACCAGCTATGTCCTTCGACTCAACCTTGATGATTAAGCACGGTGGATCTTATGAAAGTATCAAGTGGCGCTAATCTCATTACTGTTGCATGCAAGTTGTTAATTATTATTAATAGAGTATAGAATAAAATTAAATTAATCAACAATCGAGTTAATATAGCAAAAAAAATAGGGTAATAGAAATAAATACGGGAAATTTAGAAGAATAGTAATAACGGAATTTAGATTTTCATATAAAATTTTAAAAACAAGAATTAATAAATGGCATTATTTAACGGATTATTAAAATGCATGGTGCATAAAAGAATTTAAATAGATTTTCCATTTATGCTGCCGCCCTGTGCTAATCTTTACGCAGGGTCGCAGCCACGAGAAAGTATTTCGAATTATTTAATTTCGAATTAAAGAAAATTTTGACAACGGATTTCTTTGTTGACTAATTAGATTTTAAACAATTAATTAAATTTTAAATTCTAGTAAAATGTTAAAACGAAAGAAAATAAAAATTATTTTTATTCAGAGTTCTTCTGTTTTTCATTGATGAATTTTAAATCTTAATTAAGATCTTCTTTAATTTGAATTTCTACCTTACAGGCATTTTTTTTTAAAATGAATTTAAGCTTAAGATTTAGTTTTAATATGATGGGATTCTTAGGGTCGTATTTCGTACTGGCTAGTGGGAGAACTTGCTGAAATGATTAATCTTATCTCTTTCGTTGGATACTTAATTACCTCTAGGTTATTGTCGAAGACACATTAGATTTATAAAAAAAATGGAAACTGCAGGAAGGGAGGAAATCATAGGAGTTATGTTGAGGGTGGAACTCGTTCACCAAGGCCGCATCATCATAGAGGACAGATGGGTTTTTCTGAAGGAAAATGATTCCCCTCCTAATTGTATGCGTTTCTCCAAATTGACAAAGCCGTACATACATGCTCATTCTTTTTCAAGATTATCAATTAATTTCCTTTTTCTTTTTGTAGATTGGAATCTAGTACCCAACGATGGAAGAGAAAGAGTCTCGGGATGCTTATTGGTTTATCAAACCAACCTAGGCACCTATCACCAACTGGAGTATAGGTGGATACACGGAGCTTCCTAGTCTATTTATTTTAGGTTTAAATTTAGTTAATAAAAATGTCAATATGTATATTTTAAAAAAAGAAAGAGAAAAAAAAATAAAAAAAAAAATAAAAAAATGGATAAATTTGGAAAAATTCAAAATAAACTTGTCGCTAATTTAGCTACTGGAATCTTGACAAAATTAAATTAATAGTGAACAAGAATAAAAATAAAAAAAATTTCCAGTCGACTGGGGTTGATCCCCGGCTAACCAGTTAACAGCGGTAGTTCTTACCACTCGGTCAGTGAGGCCTGGATGCTGGAAATAAAATTGCACACCCAAAGCCTGCGATCTAGTAGGGATGTCAATACACGGTCAGACAATGTACGGGCCGGTCGGGGATCCACTGCCAGCTGCGAAAGTGCTTCCCATTTCTGTTCGCATATATACATATATACTCAGCACAAATTACATTAAAACAATATGAAGTCATTAGAAAACTGAGTAGTAAATCAACGTCATTTTAGAGGAGTATGGAAATTTTGGAGATAAGGAAAGATAATTTGGAGTTGAATTTAAATGCTAGGTTTCTTTTCGCCACCGCGGAATTATTCCTGTAAACTTGCTGCCGGAAACCTAAAAAAAATTACAACAGTAAAATACAATTTCTAAAAAAAATTAATTTTTGAAGTGGCTTGGAGAATTTGGAAAATTCCACCCATAATTTCAGAAAGAATACCAGAGAATTAATAGGTAATTAGAAAGAGATTTTTAAAGAGAAAAAAAAATTGTCTGAGAGACAACGGATTTTCATTTCGTAGATTTTCATTGAGATTTTCCAACGAGGAAAATTATATTCGAATTATCTAAAAGGAGAATTTGGGAAAATGGAACCTTAAAATCAATCGAAATTAAAATTTTTACAGTTTTAGTGAGAAATAATGATAACAAGGGTTAAACATCATTTTTGTTTTAACGCGGCCGAATGTGCCTGAACATCCATACTCTTGCTCATGTCAAGAGTGAGTCAGGACACATGTGGGACACATTAAATATTGTTGCCTCTTGTCTTTTCACCACCGCGGAAAATTCCTGCTAATCATGCACGGAATTTTCACGAGTTGAAAAAAAACAGGAAAATGTAAAGAATGAGAGAAAATCCTGAAAGTTTAGTATACTTGGAAAAACAAAAGAAATTGGTCAATTTTAAGGTCTAGGTGTTCGTGTCTGTACAGTAATTCGGTTGTTCTGATTTCTTCGTCTAATGATGTCAGCAATAGGAATAACTCCAGGGGGAGGGGGGATGGATTCTGGTTGAATTGGAAGTTCATATTTTGGCGGCGGAACTATATCAGGTATTGGCTCCTGATAACACATTGATAAATCTTAAATTTTAATTAAGATCTTCTTTAATTTGAGCAGGAATACTTGATACAAAAATTGAAAAGAAACACACAAAACAATAGTTCTCTAATTAATTTTGACTGTGAAAAAATTTTTTTTAACTTATTAAAGAAAAGAAAATTGGAAAATGATTGTAAAATTGGAAAATTACTTTGTTTTTCAAAATGTAGAAAAACTAAGAAAAATTGGAAAATTCACTCAGAAAAATCCATTTTCTTTACATTGGAAAAGACAAAATTTATTTTACGATTAATTTTCGCCACCGCGGAAAATTCCTGTTAATTTGCACGCGAATTTTCCGGTTCATAAATATGGTGGGGATAGATACAAAAAAAAAATTTTTTTTTTTTAATAAATGTTAATCAAGATTGATAGTAAAATTTTTCCAACTTTTCTGAGTAAATTTTGAAATGTGTTTTTAACACAATAGATAGTGGGAAAATTATCCAGGAATTCAAAAGTTTTTAAGGAATTCATGGGATACAGGAAAATATAAATGGGACAATTCGTCCAAGAGGTTAGGGTTTTCTGATCTTTGAATTTTCCTCAATTTTTCCAACAGAGGAAAATTCTTCCTGTAAAAATTACCCTTTGATCTTTTAACCTCCTTTTGAATATTTTGGCATTAACATCAATTAATGCAGAAAAGAAAAATAGAAAAGAGGAGAGAGAGAGAAAAAAAAGAAAACGATTTTTTTTTAAAAACTGCGGGGGTTACAATCTTGACCCACAGTGATTTCTGGAGCCACTGTCACAACTCGGAGAATAATGTCATCATCGCTATGCGAGAGCCAAAGAATCTCTTTATTGTAGCAGCGTCATCACATACTATCACTAGGTAGAATTGTAGTTCAGAAAATTGAAAATGATTTTAGATAGAAAATTTGAAATGCAGGAAAAACCCTTTTACAGAATTTCTCGAGCCACCACTGCACTTCAGAGATTATGACATCATCGCTATGCGAGAGCCAAAAAAATCCCTTTGTCACAATAGTGTCGTCAGATACTATTCCGTTAAGGATTCAGTGCTGAATTTATTATAGAAATTATAATTAAGATCAAATAAATTTAAGACATTAAAGATGATAGGAAAATTAGTGATAAGTAGAAAAATAAAAGTTTGCAGAAAGATTAAGGAATGAATTCAAATTTTGATTCTGGTAACACACGTTACAAAAGTAACATGTTAATTGTTATCAGAGAAGGAACAAATGGGATAGAAATTAAAAATGAAAATAAAGAAAGAATAAAGATAACAATTTAAGAGAAACGTGGCAAGGTAGCAATTTTAGAGAATTAAAATCGAAATCCAAGATCGAAATTTTGGATTAAAATTTCAGGTCGAAAATCCCACCGCTGCCACCATCAGTTTGTTACGAACCAAAGAAATTATTAGTTTATAGAAATCAATTACTTTAAAAATAATTAATTAAAAGAAACTGTAGGCTTTTAAGATGGCCCAAATTTCTAGAGCTCTCGGAGGTCCAAACTGCCTTAAATCCAATTTAGGATTTAAGTTTTTATTTATGGGTTCGTTTTCGCTAAAATGCTGATATCTTCTAGATTGAGTTAGAGAATATACCGCGACTCCTTTATTAAATTGTTATGGATAGAATAGAAGGAAAGGAAATAAATAGAAAAGAATTAGGAAAGAATCACAAATTTATTTATCAAGAGATTATCAAAACATGGAAAGAAATAGTTTAATTTTTAACAAAAATTGCGTTTAGTTCGGAACGATACGTTGAGTACTTACCGTTCCGCGTTCCTTATTCTACCGTCGGATAGTCGAGAGTTGAACACCTTCTCGCCTCTTACAAACACTTTCCGACGGGCAAAACATTCAATAAAATAAAAAAAAAGAAAGAAAATTATTATAATTTTGTGTCCTGTCACACTCACTCAGGTGGCGCATTAGCGGTTTGCCGTATGTCGTTTTTGCGTTAACTGGACAGGGATAGAGAAATCCACCCTCTTACACTAATTTGTTGACTCGTCAATTGCAAAGGCAGGCGCGGGTCCTACACGTACCCGGCTGGTCTTGCGACAAAGATAAGGAAAGCGACCTTCCCTTAAAACTTCTCCCCGAATTGATTTCAACCGGCCTCCGTGGACTTCGGAGTAAGTTGGATTTTATTTTACGTCCGGCCGCAGTAATCGTATAAGCATACAATTAAAGCGGGTCCTTGGTACCGGACGAGAGCGCGTTGGTTTTTTTAATTGGTGGAGGCACGGATGTTATTCCGTCTTTCACCAAGACCGTACTGAACGTCGAGTTAGGGGCCAGAGACGCCTCGTAGGTACACTTAGGGATGAAAAGTGGGAAATTAATGCTGAATCGGAATTTTGGGAAAACGTGTGGAAATGGAAGTTAGGAGTATTGAACTTTGT